AGCGTACCGAGGCGAGCTGGGCTTCTGATGGAGAGTGTCGGTTCTGGTGACCATTCAATTTCCCTCAAACCCCATCCTTTACTCCCCCTAAACTTCTTTCCATCTTTAAACTTTCCTATGAAGTAGAAATTCTCCCAGATATTTAGAAATGTCTGTGTAAAGTGCTTATTCACATCCGTGTGGGTAAAAGATCATAGTTGTACAGTTTTATAAATGTCAGCAACGGAAAAATCATGGCCGTATGATTTTTCCTGATTGATTGCTTTATTGTTATTTTCATAATTTGCCAAATTAATGTAAATGTTTGATGTTAAATTTGATTCTGTAAATAAATGACCGCATTCATTTTGATGGGTCAAATTTAAATGACGTCTCACTTTGCATTTCCTTAAATTCAATGCACGTTTTATTCAGTCCAGAAAAATGAGGAACTCGCGTTAAATGATGAATATATCCCAGCATCTGTTCATCTACAAAAGTAAGAACAATATTTGTATTCTCAGCAAAAAGTATATTTTTTTCCTGGTGTGGGCTGGACTCCACCAGGGCTAACCCTACTCTTTGATCCTGTTTGTGGTGTTCATAGACAGAATCTCAAGGTGCACTCATGAAGATGAGGGTGTCTGGTTTGAGCATCTCAGGATCTTGTCTTTGTTTTTGTAGCTGATGTAGTTATGTTGGCATACTCAGGTCATGACTGAAATGGATGGAAATGAGCTTTGTTGTAGGGTGGCTAGGCTCAGGCTTAGGGAAAAGGTGAGGAGCTGTGTCATCTGGGGAAGTTACTGCTCCTCTACATTGAAAGAATTCAGAGGAGTCAGTTTCAAGACATACAGTATCCTTTTGGGAGTAGACCACCTAGGCTGGCCCAGACTTTATTGACATGGATTGTTTGGAGAGTTTCACTGGGGAGACAGATGTCTGGGTTTCCCTCTTGGGCCCGTTGCCTCCTTGAAATGCCCATGAATTGAAGGCAAGATTAAGTGGCAGAAATATGAAGGAGGAATGGATGGATTAATGGATTGTGGTGTTTTCACTATTAAGAAAGTGTTCATGAAAACACATACTGTCCCCCAAAGAAATCCCCAAATCACTAAATTAATTTAATTTTTTCAAAGCACTAGTTTAACTTTTTGGGGAAAACACTTTCATGCTTTCCTGTTCAGTAATCAGAAAGCTTTGGAGCCAGTTAAATCAGCTCAAAAGGTGGAAACAGTCTATTTCTGTCCAGAGATAACACAAATCCAACTCTGCAGAAACCTCATTAACACTTTATGTGCAGTTTATATAATCCCTACAAAAAATCAAGGGTATTTGAAGAGGGTTTACAAGGATTTATTCTCCTTGAGTAAGCTTGAGTCTAAATTCAGAGCTCAACTCATCTGAACTGTGGTGACTCGAGAGAAAAGCTGTTAGAGAAGATTGGACAAACCCTGACAAAAGTTCTGCAATTGTTTGCCAAAGAGGAAGTTTTTTCAGCTGTTTAAATTTGTACAAAATAAACACACATAACACAAAAAATTAAATGTTGAAGATCCAGGCTTTGTAAAATATACTAGAAAATATTACATAAAACTGTTGGAATCAAGAGGCTGTGCTTAGCTTTACTAAACGTTCCTTTCCTATTTAAAATATCGGAAAGCATGAGAGATGGTTAGTATTTAACTTGCCTTTTCTGTGTCTATACCACGCGACATGGACCACGTAGAGGCAATGTAGTCCATAACTCTCTCACTCAAGCCTTTGGGCACCTGGTAGAGTTTCAGAAAGTCCCGCATGCTGTTGAGCATCTCATGGTAGCGATTTGTGTTGGCGTACATCTGCTGGAAGATGGTTGTCACGTTACCAAAGATGGTGGCATAGAGAAGGGCTGGGGAAACACAAAGAAGTTATAAAAACATCTGAAGGAATGTAAAAATAAATATTCTTGTTTTAAGAAAGGTCAATTGTATTGTATTCATTTTATTCCTAAGATAAGTCTCAATGAGCTGTATTGGGTAGTTGTGAAGACCATCATTCAGTCATAAAGTCAACATTGTCGCAAAAGAGTGGCTGTGGATGGGTGGTTAGAGCAGGTGTCCTCCAATGCGAGAGTTAGGGGTTCAATTTCACCAGCAGTCACACACCCAAGTGTTCCTTGGCAAGACACTGAACCCTTCATTGCCTCCGATGTGTGTCCCATCGGTGTATGAATGTGATAAAGCTCCGATTAGTCTTTGTACAGATATAGTAAAGTGCTGTATGACTGGGTAAATGAGGGCACAGATTATGTTGTAAAGTGCTTTGAGTATCTTGATCAGATAGAAAAGTGTTATATAAGTACAGTCCATTTACCATTTACCATAGTGCACAGGTGTCAAACTCCAGGCCTCGAGGGCCAGAGTCCTGCAACTTTTAGATGTGTCTCTGATGCCACACAGTTGAATCAAATAAGGAGGTCATTAGCAGGGCTTTGGAGAACTTGACTGCGTTGAGAAGCTATTCCGTCATACGTTCCCTGTGGTCAGCGGACCAATTGTTCCTCACAGTTCAAGGAACTCGTCTTAAGCGGAGAGGTGACAGGGCCTTCTCTGTAGCAGGACCAAGACTTTGGAACGAGTTACCTCTGCTTGTCAGACTGGCCCCCTCCCTCTCGGTTTTCAAATCCTGTTTAAAAACTCACTACTATTCAGTAGCTTTCAACACCAGAGGATCTGTGTTTTGAACCTGTACACCCCACACTGGTTTGTCGTCATTATCTGCATTGTTTTTATGTCTATATTTTGGATTTACTTCATTTTGTATACTGCTTCATGTGTTGTCTGTTGTTCTGTCTGTACAGCACTTTGGTTGGCCTCGTATCTGTTTTAAGTGCAATATAAATAAAATGGTATGGTATACGATTCAGCTGTGCGGCATCAGAGACACATCTAAAAGTTGCAGGACTCCAGCCCTCCAGGCCTGGAGTTTGACACCCCTGCCATAGTGTGATCATAAGAACCCAAGGTTTAGACTCAAAAGCTCAGGTAAAACTTAAAATGAGGATTTTTTTTTTTTTCCTTTCGGCTGCTCCCTTCTTCAGGGTTCACCACAGTGAACCGAGTCGCACAAAGACATAGCAATTATTTTTATGTCGGATGCCCTTCCTGACACAACCACAGACCACCAAGCTACCACAGCCCTTGTGTGGAGCAGAGAGCTGCTATCTAGGGTGCCTGGCGGAGCGGATGATGGGGGTTAAGGGGCTTCCTTCTGCAGGAATCACAGTAAGCAAGCTTGCACAAAAATGTGGCTATTGATTCACATCAGATGCCATTCCTGACAAGCTGGGCTCAGACCTGCAGCCTCAGGATTACAAGACCTCAGCACTGATCACCGAGCTTTGCAGCACCTCAGGGGAAGGACAGGTAAATGTCAAAAAATAATCAAAAGAAAGCACAAGATATGACATGACTAAGTTAATAACAAATACTGGAAATAAACTCAACCTAAAAAAAAATCTCACAAACCCCCCAAATCACGAGAGATATCTACTGAATTGGTTTCTATTTAAAAAAAAAAAAAAAAAAAAAGCAATATCTCACTTTAAACTCATAACATGATGCATCTGGAAATGTAGTTATCCACTTAAGTAACTTTCAGTCTGTTCCTGAAACTTGGACAAAAAATTTCCTGTTGGTTTGGTTGTTGATGCTTCTCAAGCTGCAGAACGACCAAAAAACAAATTTCCTTAATATCATGATCTGCTTTCTGTGTTGAATCCAAGGGCAGGAAGGTGATGAGAGACTCCAGGTAAAATGAATAACATAATTTATTTTCAAAATAAACAAAACAAGATGCTGTCGGGGCAGCTAATTCACTTACTGAAGGACTGGAGGGAGACAGACCATAAAGCCGTTTGAAGGACAATCTGGAGACATTGACAAGACACCAAGGGGCTGAATATATACAGACACTAACAAAGGTGAAATGACATGCACCTGCGGTGACTAGATTGGACACAGGTGAGACAGAGCTGGAACACAGGGAGGAGGAACACTGAGGGGTGACTGGCAAACATGAGGAAAACACAAAAGACAGGACCAGATCCCAGAAACCCTACAGGACCCCCCACTCAAGGGATGGCCCCTGAAATCCCCCCAAGGAAAGGCCCCAAGGAGAGAGCTACATCCACTTGGGTGGGTGGTGGGAAAAAACAAGAAGTAGGGTACACAAAGGAACACGAAAAGCAAGAAAACAGAGGACCGACAGGTAGGAACCTGGGTAAACACTGAACACACATAAAAAGGGAAAAACAGAACCCCAACCCCCAGAGTCAAGGTAGGCAGTCAGGAGACCGTCCAAAGCAGGGCAGAAGATCTGGGGGGGGTGGCCTGGAGACTATCTGTCAGCAGGCTAGTGTTCTTGTGGGCAGCCAGGATACCATTCGTCTTCAGACCAAGGCTCTGGCGGGCAGCCAGGAGGCCGTTCGTTTGCAGGCCAGAGCTCTGGCAGGCAGAAGACCATCCCTTTATGGCCAGCAGTGGTGTCCACCTGTACCCTTCTCGACCAAGGCAGAAAGGTGAGGAGAACCCCGGAAAGTCCATGGAGCCCAGTGGAGAGGCCACTGGAGAGGTTGCGACTGCAGGTGACAAGGCCACTGGAGGGAGACCAGCAGTGAAAGCCCCAGCAGGCGGACCAGCGGTGAGAGCCTCGGCAGGAGAACCAGCGATGGGAGCCTCAGCAGGATAAGCAGCGATGGGAGCCTCGGCAGGAGAGTCAAGGGTGGGAGCCTTGGCAGGAGAACCAACGGTGGGAGATCAAGGTTCATGCTCAATAATCCAGGTAAAAAGTCCAACAATGTTCAGTCAGGCCATCTGGACAGTTTCTTTTTTTTTTCTTTTGTTTTTTGAGAGACATTTTGCCCTCTATCCGAAGGGTTTTATCAGTCTGAGGAGTTACAAACAAACTGTTTTCCCCACTAAGCAGTACACTCCTACAGTGGATCAACCAGTTTTCTGGTGATAAAATGGTTTCTGGGGGCCGTCCTCTCCTCCATCGACTCCTCCCAAGCTGCCATAGCCAAAATTGGTTCAAGACATCAAGGTTCATGCTCAGTAATCGAGGTTAAAAAAAATCCAACAATGTGCAGTCATATCATCTGGACAATTTTTTTGTTGTTGTTGAGAGACATTTCACCCTCCATTCGAAGGGCTTCATCAATCTGAGGAGTCAACGGTGGGAGCCTCAGCAAGAGAACCAATGGTGGAAGCCTCAGCAGGAGAACCGATGGTGGGAGCCTCAAGAGGAGAACAAACAGGATGGGAGCCTCAGCAGGAGAACAAGCGATGGGTGCCATAGCAGGAGAACCAACGACGCAAGCCTTGGCAGGAGAGTAGTCCATTGAAGGGAATGCAGTTATGGCTGGACTCTGCAGTCTGCATTTGGAAGTGGACCCAGAAGATCTGCATCTGGAGACGAATCCAGCAGGTTTGGTTCAGGAGATGGACGCAGCAGCTCTGTATCTGGAGATGGATCCAGTAGCTCTGCATCTGTAGATGGAAACAGCAGCTCTGCGTCTGTGGATGGGCCCAGCAGTTCTGTGTCTAATGATGGACAGCAGCTCTGCTTTTTTAGATGGAAGGGCCAAGGAGGCTGCAGCTGGAGTGGGGACCAAGGGGGCTGCAGCTGACATAGGAGCCCTGCAGGTGACAGCCAACAAGCAGACCCAGGACAGTGCAGCTGACATGGAAACCCAGGAGGGTGCAGCTGACATGGAGGGAGATGGGTCTGCTGCTGGTGGTGTGAAGTAGAGATCTGCAGGTGATGAGTCAGGAGAAGAACCAGGCTGAGCAGAGGCCAGTAGAAGCAAGTGCAGCACGCGCCGCTCCGTCCACGCGCCGCTCCGTCCATGCGCCTCTTCGTCCATGCTTTCTGGAACTGCTCCCACATCTCCGGTGACTCGTTCACATTATCAGCCCTGGTGCATTTGCTGATAAAGTCCCCCACAGCGATCATCCTCACCCAGAGATTGCTGTGGTTGCGGGGTTCATCCTCCCCCACCCCAGCAATGGGTATGCAGGGGCATGTGTCGTCCTCCCCCCAACCAGTGGGTACACAGGAATGAGTATTCGGCTGCTCTGTCGGCTGCTCCGTTAGCTGGTCCTCTGGCCAGCAAGAGCTGGGCTGCCCCCATGCCTGCGAAAATTTCCACCACTCCTCCAGCTGCGTCTGAGAAGGAAGACGCTGGGGTTCGGTGGATCTGGCTTAGTTCTGCCGTTGGTTCCTTTTGCAGTGAATCCGAGGGGATTGCCCTCCTCCCTTTGAGGACCACTTGGGGAATACAGGAGTGGTTGGGGAGGAGATTGGTAGCAAGGTGCTGCCAGTGGATGAGGTGGTGAAGGGGGTCGAGATGAACAGGCAGAGGACCCAGGTTTAAACACCAGGCGAGTACCTTAACAGTTTTTTTTTCCTCTCTTTCTCCTTCTCACATTGGGCAGTCTTTTTTGCCTCACGGACCAGGAACTCAAACAGGGTGATCTTTCTGCTAGGTTCAGTTTGGTCTCCGGATTCTATCATGATCTGCTTTCTGTGCTGAACCCAAGTGCAGGAAGATGACGAGAGACTCCAGGTAAAATGAATAACATAATTTATTTTCTAAATAAACAAAACAAGATGCTGGCGGGGCAGCTAATTCACTTACTGGAAGACATGGAGGGAGACAGACCATAAAGCCGTTTGAAGGACAATCTGGAGACACTGACAAGACACCAAGGAGCTGAATATATACAGACACTAACAAAGATGAAATGACAGGCACCTGCGGTGATTAGATTGGACACAGGTGAGACAGTGCTGGAACACAGGGAGGAGAAACACTGAGGGGTGACTGGCAAACATGAGGAAAACACA